TTGCATACTTTCGGTTCCAAATGAGGTGTGTGATTGATTGGTCAGTTCGTAACCCTGGTGTTTGTAATTCTGAGGTCCTATTGTACCAGGCTTCTCTTCCCGCCCCCCAAAAGCCATCTTTTTAAATTATGCTGCCATCTGCCTTAGGAGATCTAGATAAGCTATTTTCTGGATATTTTTGTCCTAACTACATGATTTTAAATGTCAGAATGGGCTGATCACATGTATGTCCAGGTGATCTAAGACCAGTTTCAAAAGATTTTGTTCATTTGCTTATTTTAAATGAACCCCACCCACTCAGCAATAATATATTTTCAAGAGGTAAGCAGGCAATTTACTTATTTATGCATAGTTGTTTGCAGTGGTGTTATAGCTATGTTGGTCCCAGGACAGGAACGACACAAGGTGGGTGAAGTAGTAGTTTTTATTGGATCAACTTGTGTTGGTGAGCTTTCGAGCTACACAGAGTTCTTCTTCAGGTCTGGGAAAGGTACTCAGAATGTTGCAGCTAAATACAAGATGAAACAGATTGCTAAGCATAAGGAGTTAACACATTGCAAGAAACCATTCAAAATGAAGTGGGCAATTAACACCTCTGCAGTCATAGGACAAAGGTGAGTTAATAGTTTACAGATTGTTGTAATAAGACATATACTTCATGTGTCAGTATATTTATGCTTGTATCTGTAATTTTCACTCCATGCATCTGAAGAAGTGGGTTTTTTACCCATGAAAGCTTATGCCCAAATAAATCTGTTAGTCTTTACATTGCCACCAGACTCCTCGTTGTTTTTGTGGATACAGACTAACACAGCTACCCCTCTGATACAAGATATATACTAGTATCTCTATTGTATCCATGATTTCTGGTGTCTATCAGAGTTATGAATTTAAGCTCCCAGGCTCGCCTCTTGAAGGTGTTGTGCCAGTTTCCTTTGAGGATGTAGACTGAGAGGTAAGATATGGAGTTATTATTTTATGACAAGAGTTCACTCATGGGTAATGTTTTTGTCTTTTATCATTTTTCTGTATGAGTTTATTTGAGAGTGTAGAGATTGTCTGGTTTCATCCCTATAGTGATTGCTAGGGCATTTGATGCACTAGATGAGGTATACCACATGTTGAATAGGTACGTGTAGGACCCATGGATCTTGAAAGGTTCCTATGGGGGATATTGAACATTGTAGCAGTGGAAATATGGCTACGGGTTTTGCATCTGTTCTGGCAGGGTGTGGTGCCGCTCTGAGTTGGTGTGTCCTGGTCTGTGGGAAGCTTGCTTCTGACGATGAGTTTGGCAAAGTTGGGGGGTTGTTTGAAGGCCAGAAAAGGGGGTTTGGTAAAGATTTCTCTCAAGATGTGATCCCCATCAAGTTTGGGTTGTAATTGTTTGATGATACCTCATATGGCTTCCAGCGTGGGGTGATAGGTGACAGCTAGGGGTGCATGGTCAGTGGACTTTTTTTCTGTATTGAAGCAGGTTCTCTCGGGAAATTAGGATGACCCATTCCATGATGTGATCTAGTTCTCTGGTGGAGTATCCTTATATGGTGAAGGCGGTTTTATGTGTGTTAAAGTGTATATCTTGGACTTTCTCCTCAGAGCATATTCTGTGGTATTTGAGTGCCTGGCTGTAGAGACCAGATTTCTAGGTGTGTTTGGGGTGGTTGCTGGATCTGTGGTGGTAAGTGTGGTGATGTGAGGGTTTCTTGTATATAGTTGTGTGTAAGGTTTCTTGCAACATGAGTTAACTCCTTATGCTTAACTATCTGTTCCACCTGGTCTTTAGCTGTGACACACTGATTACCTTTCCCGGACCTGAAGAAGAGCTCTGTGTAAGCTCGAAAGCTTGTCTCTCTCACCAACAGAAGTTGCTCCAATAAAAGATATTACCTCCCCGACCTTGTCTCTCTTATTTATTCACAGGCACTTCTGTGACACTCATCACTGTACTATCTGAGTACCAAAAGCCTGATACACTAGCAGGCAGAAATGCAATCTAATCCCAGTGACTGGGTTAGCCCAGTGAAAGCCTTCGTAGCAGACACTGTAATGTCACAGACCTGAGAACGGTCAGACCCTGTGCCTATGGGGGCAGAGGAGATGCGTTCAGCACCTGAGCAGGAAGAGCTGCTGGAGGTCGGCCGGGGAGAGGGAGCTCATACAATATGTTTACTAACCCGATGAACAACCCCTGGATCCTGGCCCCTTCTTGCCTCTGTTCTGGGATTGTGGGGGTTTCTGGAGCCCTAGACCAGCAGTAGTGCCTATGCAGTCCTGCAGAGGGAGGGTAGTTTCCAACAAACATACACTTTAGAGGCTTGGGGAGCTCTCCTTTTTACCATCAGTAGGTGGGTGCTGGGCGTTGCCCTTCTTAGTGCTCTTCAGCCCATACTAAGCCATTCAGTCTCGCTGGCTGGCATGCAGTAGGAGCACCATGGTTTGCCAGCGCTGCAAGGGAAGGCTTGCATTAACAACAACAACAACAGTGTATCCAGGGGTTGTTAACAACAACAACACAGAACTTTCACGAAATATTCACAGTAGATTTTGTCAAAACCTTTTTTTGTAAAAAAAAACAACAACTAATTCTTGGCCCTCAACTACTTGGGTTTCCATTTAGGCATTATTATGCCAATGTATCTCAGAGAGGACTAGCCAAGCAGGGAGTGCAGAACAGGGGCAGTGCAGGTTCCCCCCATGCCGCCTTGCTGACATGGCAGGACTGCAGGGGTACAAATGGTTTCATTTTCTCAAAGAGGTGCTCAGCTTTTAAGAGGCCACATAAATCTGCATTAGACAGAGTGAAACTGTCATCCTAACTAAAGAAGGCTTCTACTTAGCTCCTTTGCATGACAAGTATTTCCCACTACACTGTTCCATTCTTCACCCCCTACACAGTAGGCAGCCCTAGCCACCCTAGCCAGGGTCATCAAGTGAGGGCTACAATAGCTTCAGCCTGGGCAGCCAATCAGGACAAGTTGTTTTACTATGAGCTGCATGATTGGTCACCCCATTGACCCACATAAAACTCCCACTGCCTGGCTGAAGGTGGCTATAGGTGGGGGAGAGAGAACACTTGACAGGAGCTATGCTGGTTCTCATGCCCACTTGCCCCTATTAGAAAGCTTTTCCTACCTCCTCACACAGCAATGTTCAGACAGACAGGCCTGGCCATATGGTTTGTAATGGCTACATGTGATTTAAGTTCTGATAAATTAGGTTATTTGCATCCTATTTGCACTAGCCGGTTGTATTTTCTTTTCTCTACACTGGGTAATGTTAAGTTATTGTCTGGTCAGGAGTACTCAGTGAGTTGGCTCTTGTTTCAGCACCTTTTTCTTAGTGCTAGCAAGTTTTAATACATCGAGTGGAGAGAGGCTTCAATAGTAACGCTGGTTCAAAGTTTGTTGGGAAAGGTGGTTGGTGATTGGTTAAAGGGAAATGAAGGTTACTCTGTACCACAAGATAAGCCCACTTATAGAAGTTTCCAGGAGTTGACTATCAGCAGCTCTAACTTAGTGTTAGTTGAATGTTGGTTTGAGTCAGACGGCCATGACAGGGGGGCAAAAAGGCTGTTTTAGTCTTGGGACCACACGTAGTATCTTGAGGTCACCTGGCTTTGCACGTAATTTGGTTCAAGGAATAGCCTACAGTAAGGGAAAGCAACAACAGTGTTCCTTTGCAGTAGTGGTTACTCTTATTCACGCTGATGTTTAAACCTTGTTACATCTTTAATAAAGTGGTGGCCAATGGCCTATTTTCCCCTATAACTGTGGAAACAATGTTTTGTTAGTATTTGCCTACTTTATAGCTTCTATGTGAACCATCTTTATAAAATTAGATTTGCTCTTCTGTCTCTGAAATTAAGTTTGGTCATGAATGTAAGGTAAGATGAATAATGGGATAGCTTTGGTACAATCTAGAAGAACAATATTGACAATTGTTAACTTAAAAAACACAGCAACCATATGTTTAGTTCAACCTTTCAAAGTCTAATGATGAGGCATGCTGTCTTTGTGGAATGATGATTTCTTTTCCACTGGAGATTTTTTCCTGGGTAAAGGAAAAGTTAGATGCACAAGAGAAAATCGTACCTTATGAGAGCTACAGTCTTCTCTCTTCTTAATTGCTGAATTTATTATGGGGAATGCTAGAGGCATCATAAACTAGAAAGAACGTTTTCAGAAAGTCTTGATGTTTTCTTATATAAAGTCATACGTTACAAACAAATATCCTTCTTTGTTTAAATGTTAACATATGCTCAAAATGAGAAAGCAGCACATAGCAAAGATGCAAAGAGAGAGCATGCTAAAACAAGAAGTCAATGTTGTTCATTGTGTAGCCCACATTTTAATAAAGAGATTGGCATGTGGACCATCTCCCCTACTAATCACAATGACATGGATCACCTGCTCCCCTTTCTATCATATAACATCCCGATGGCAATTACTTATATGGAAAAGCAATAGGAAAGTATTTATGTATTTTTAGCTGCCTTTTTAAATGCAAGTCAGCAGGTGGAAATAGAGAGGAGAAAACAGGACCACGTGACCAGTCAGCTCTTTGTGGACCATTAGAATGTTCTCTGTGGACCACAGTTTAAGAATCTTTGTGCTAAAATGTGGAATCAATCATATGGGGCTAAATTCTGCTCTCGAGTACTCCAGAATTAATATTAGTATAATTCCACTAATGGGAGTTATTCCAGATTTATGTCAGTATTACAGATCAGAATATGATTCACTAAGTTCTACTGTTAGTTTTATTCAGATCAGATACTAATTTTTAACTTGGCCATATAGTTAGTTGGTTTTCTGTTTTAAAAGCCAAAGTAACTGTTTTCTCTCCAGGCCTCTTTGTGAGGGAAATCTCAGTCACATGAAACACATCATAGCCTGGCTGGTGACGTACTACAACTCTTTAATGGCCTCAGCCAAAAATTCTGATACTGATACAGCAACATATAAGTACGATCTAAAAATGAAGAAATGATGCTTATGACGAGCATAAGATTAATTTATTTACAAATATTTCAGCCAGTTAACTTTTTTAAAGAGTTTTGAAGAGTCTAGAGTGAAAAAAAACATAATAATGCAGAAATGTTAAACACAATGATGCTTCGCTGTACCTTGGAAGTGTTGCTAGTGTTGGCCTTTCCTTTCTGGAAGCTTCTCACATAACAATACATATACACCATAGTGCTGACAAAGGGTTAACATTTCATTAATGAATAATCTGTGACACATTAGGGTTGCAAGTATTACAGAGACATTAGATGTGAGGAGGAGGAAAGAGGGAGGTGGAAGAATTGTCAAAAGTTTAAAATCTACAGAGAACTAAACATCCTCACAAAAGGATCATACTATTAGTTCGGCAAAAAAACATTAGTTTTGAAAATTAATTATATATGTGTACAAGAGACTACTGATAATAGCGTTTAGGGGTGGCATTAGTAAGGTAGGCAGAATTTTGATAATAAGAGGGGTTTAGTTATTTATATATTTTTTATTTAAAATAATCTCACTGACCTGAATTGTACTTTAAGAGCAAGTTCGATACTCAAAGTCCCTGCATCTGTGAAAAACTGAACATTTATAGTGTCCAGTTACTCCTGAATGACTCAGCTAACCGCACTTATACACATAGCCTTTTAGAACTAAACCTCACCAGCCTAGAACAGTGTTATTATAATTAGTCAGTTATCTACAGTGTTTGACAGAGTCTTTATAGAAAGAGAAAAATGGCAGAAACTGCTTTACTTTTCCTCTGTGGATCGTCGGTAAAGAGACTCGCCCAAGTATTCTAGCCTCTCCCTCAGTTCAAGATCCTGGTACAAGCCTTTGGGAACCTTGTTCAGGCCGTAAAGCAATCCATACAAGCAGCCGGCAATAGATCCAGTGGCTGCACTCTCACCTGTAAAATTAAACACAATTGTGTGCAGTTCTGTTGTCGTGAAAAATGCACTCTCCTTTGCAGATATATCACTACACAGAGAAGGAAGCTTTAAGCCACTACGGCAGAGATTTTTACTTATATGTGGTGTGCCAAAGAGACTCTCAGAACAGTAGCTCTAGGGAGTTCACCAACCAACTGGAATGTCAAGCCTCCACCTTTGCCAGCAGTAACGGGTCATACTGCATAACGTACTCCTGGGGGAATTCTGCACCAACAAATTAAAAATTCTGCACACAATATTTTAAAATTCTGCATATTTTATTTGTTAAAATAATGCAAAATAATCATGCTGGTTTCAATTATTTTGGTAATTTATTTAAACTACAATACAATGGATGGCGAACGGGAGTGGGGAGCATTGGAGGAAATCTCAAAATCCCATCTAATAGTAATGTAGCTAGTATTGACCCTTTACTTCTAGTTTTGTCAACAGATATATGCAGCCATATGCTCAGTATTACATCATAGGCAACTGAAGAGCAAGCAAGGGCTGGAGACTCAAACTCACAATTTATATTGGCTACTGACCATCTCCAGAAAGGTCAGCAGCAATCAGTTAGTGGAGTACATTTTGATAGGAAATTTTAAAAATTTAGACAAGTTCTATTCTTAAAGCACCATAAGCATTTATAAAGCCACACTGTCCTTTACAATAAGGCTCTCAGGGTGCAACAAACCATTGCAGTTAACCCAGGGCTAGAAAGGAAGAGTAGCTACAGAAGAAACCACTAGATTGCGAGATCTTTAGGGCAGGGAATGTATCTTATTATTGTAATTAATAATTAAAAATCACATAATGGCTGTGTGTATGTATCCATAGTATCTTGTGTTGAGATCCCGTTAACTCTCACAAAGCTAAGCAGGGATGGGCTGGGTCAGCACCTTAGACAGGGAGTCTCCATGGAATGCCTAGGTTGATTGTTGATGGCATCCTGCTGGGCTGAATCTGCAGTGTTGGTGATTCCACATGAGGGTAGGGGGCAGGGCACAGTGATGTTGAAGGAGCTATCTTTGGCATGAGATGCAACACAAAGATACTAACCACTTGTGTTCCTTTAAAGACCACATGGTGGTTTTTATAAGAGTAAGGATGTTAAACCAGTGTCCCAGACAAACTACTGCTCAAGTAATTACATACTACAGTACCTGCCTGAAAACTCCCTGCAGTTTTAATTGCATTCAGTATTCTTTTTCTTCCCCCATCTTATACACTTGTGTTGTTTTTCTGTGTGTGGTTCTATAGCAGCCGTCCCAGACAGAGGTTGCTGTATATAAGTGGTGGTAAAGTGAACCGTATACATAGATATCCTTAATCTACTTCACAAGCATGTTGTGAGGCTTAATTCACCAATGTTTGTAAAGCACTTTCCGAGTCTTGAATGGCAGGTGCTATTGACATAATAACAACACTGATCATGTGAAATTGATAAGGAATCAATAATAGGCAATTATATGGCAGATTTGACTTAGTCAGCAGATTTACTGCTGAGATGCCTTTTTCGTGACTTAAAGGTTGCATCTCATACAACAATGACTATTTTGCCATTTAAACTCTAGGGGATTCAAATACTTGACATTATAAAGGAACAACAGGATTACTGACCCCCATGGAACATTGCTCGATTGCAAAGTTCTGTCCAGTCACCACCACATCCTAAAAGAGCATCGTATGCAATCATGGGAGCATCATGGCCTCTTCTTCCACCTCGTCCTTCAGAACTCCACCTCCTGTAAGTCTAAAAGAATAGCTGTTGAGTTGGTCGCAAGGCATCGCAAGAGCTCACCACCTTTCACATGCAGAATGATATACTGTAAGACACTTTTACCCCGAGATGGCTGATAAGGACCTGCATTCAGGGGAAGCTCACTCCTATCTATTTGTGACATTTCATATGGAGCAGTGGAGCGGTGCCTCTGATCTTCCCATTTACAAATGCAACCACAATATTAATTTGAGATGATATTTTTTCAAAGCCTCCTACCACTGACAAATTCCCTGGTTCCTCTGCTGAATAGTCCCCCCAGAAGCAGCCCTGCCTCTCAGAGACAGACAGAGGCTTTAATGCCAACAGTCATGTAGGCCAGAAGGAAACAAAATACTTGTAACTACTCTGCAGGCTGGATCAGGAGCAAAAGTCTCTAGGATTCAACTGAGCCAAGAATTTCAAGAAGCTCATCAAGTCAGAGTCTCATTTCACATCTTAAAAGTTCACACTCATAGAAATTAGAGGTGGAAAAGACTTATTAGGTTGTCTTGGTCTCCTCTCAGACAATGAGGAATTGTTCTCCATTCCCCCTACCACATATTCTCAAATGTTTTGTCCAGTCCAGTTTTAAATTTCTTTACTGTGTCCTCTTCCACATTTGTTCAAATGTCTCCACTTCTAGATATTTTATTTCAAATCATTCTTTCTCACCTTGTGCTGCCAGGCCTCCCTTCCTCTCAAAGACTGCTCAGAACAACAATATTGAAAATGATCTTCAAATACAAGAGGCAGAATACTTCCTCAGCAACAAAAACCCCTGGGCATTGTGCACTGGCCCATCAAACAGGCCCTAGAATAGGTGCATCCAGATTTTACCTTTTTTACCTGCCCCAATTTCCAAACCACATCCAAAGTGCATCTGTTATGCTTATACCAAAAACATCATTTTGATTAAAGATTGGACCGCAAGCCAGTTTTTTATCCCCTTAACATATAAATACAATATAGCAATTTGAGTTGTACTTCCTTCAACTAGGGCTGAATTTGGCCCTGAGCTTTATGGTGTCCCGAGGACTGTGTTGGAACTGCAAGCTATTGTGTTAAGAGCAGTGTGTGTGTATTTGTCTGTCTGTCCCTAGTCCCACGTGCAGACTAGTGGGCTCTGCAGCAAAGAATGGGAGCATTCAGCAGAGTCAGTGTGCAGACTGCCAGCTAGAGTAAGGTGAGATGAGCTGTACCTCTCTGCTTAGGGAGCAGCCAGTTTTGTTTCTCTCTGTTTTGGAGTTCTTGTGTGTTCTGAGAAATAAAGTAGTGTTACACTGCAGCCTTCCAGCTGGAGTATTATATATTTTATCTAACTTCTCTGTTTGTATGCTATGAAAATAACTTTAATTTAAGCTTTATATATTTATATACAGTGCACCCACACATATACCAAAGGGGGAGGGGTCTCAGGCAGCATCACTTTCTTCTTACTTTCATGTTTG